TTGGCCCCTTGTCCTACTGTACATTTAGATCAATGATCTGAAATTGTAATGCTTGACAAGAAGAGCGGGTCTGACTAAGAATACCCATTCTCACTTCTCATTAGTTTAGTCCACTTGCCTCACTGCTGTGATACACTGATAAAGCTATCCAGGCAACCCACAGTACCTAGTTACTCTGTCTGTTAAGACAATTATATTTGCTGATGAGGCCGCAGCTGTAGTTTTGTAAGAAAAAAAAAAAGTGTTTCAAAACTGTGAGAGCAGCATCTCTGGGCTCCTGACTACAGTCAGCTGTTGGGCTGGTTACCATGTTCATTTTCCTCCCTGGGAACTGCCCCTCCGCTGCTCCGTTCCAAAACCACGACCTTTCAGTTATCAGGAGCTGCCCTGTACTACCAGTCTGGAGCCTGGCACCCAGCATCCTTTCCTGAGACCTGGGGGAGCAACTGGCTGGCACTCTGAATAGAAGTCTCTCTGCCAGCTGGCTACAGCGGGAGGGGAGGGGACTGGTGGAGCCACATACAGCTCCACCTCAGAAAGCCTTCCATATTGTCTTTCAGCCATAATCTTGACAAGCTGGGAAGGCTGAGTGGAACGGCAAGAATTACAAACAAAATCACTTACAATTATGAAAGCGTCTGGTGGTTTGCGACTTTTTTTTCTGAGCCACACTGAACATGATCAGCAGCCTGGTTGTGTCAGGTCCCAAGAATGTGTGTTGCCACATGAATGCCTGGTGTGTGGTTCCTTTGTACCCTCTGAGCAGCTCTGATTTGGGTGGGAATGTGAAAGGGAATTTTTAAGGAGAATTGAGTGGAATCTGACCACTGTAAGCCCTCCGTACTTTGATGGGAAGATCTGTAAGACAGAATTTAGTTCATAGGGCCAATCTTTAATGAGGTCATCCTTGCAAACAGAAACTATGTCCTGAGTATATCTCAATCTACAGAAATACATTACCTAAAATTAAGCTTCTCTAAGAAGACTGTCTCAAAATCAAGGCTCATCCATACATTAAAATATTTCTAACCAATATTCACCATTACAGTCTCCACTGAAGGGCTGGAGAGAAAATGTTCCCACTCCTGCCTGGCTCCACATTTGAATCTGACTTAGATTCAGTCAGTTCAGTTCAGTCGCTCAGTCGTGTCCGACTCTGCGACCCCATGAATGGCAGCACTCCAGGCCTCCCTGTCCATCACAAATTCCCGGAGTTTACTCAAACCCATGCCCATTGAATCGGTGATGCCATCCAACCATCTCATCCTCTGTCATCCCCTTCTCCTCCTGCCCCCAATCCCTCCCAGGATCAGGGTCTTTTCCAATGAGTCAACTCTTTGCATGAGGTGGCCAAAGTATTGGCATTTCAGCTTCAGCATCAGTCCTTCCAATGAACACCCAGGACTGATCTCCTCTAGGATGGACTGGTTGGATCTCCTTGCAGTCCAAGGGACTCTCAAGAGTCTTCTCCAACACCACAGTTCAAAAGCATCAATTTTTCAGTGCTCAGCTTTCTTCACAGTCCAACTCTCACATCCATACATGACCACTGGAAAAACCATAGCCTTGACTAGACGGAACTATGTTGGCAAAGTAATGTCTCTGCTTTTTAATATGCTATCTAGGTTGGTCATCACTTTCCTTCCAAGGTGTAAGCGTCTTTTAATTTCATGGCTGCAATCACCATCTGCAGTGATTTTGGAGCCCAAAAAAATAAAGTCTGACACTGTTTTCACTGTCTCCCCATCTATTTCCCATGGGGTGATGGGACCAGATGCCATGATCTTAGTTTTCTGAATGTTAAGCTTTAAGCCAACTTTTTCACTCTCCTCTTTCACTTTCATCAAGAGGCTTTTTAGTTCCTCTTCACTTTTTGCCATAAGGGTGGTGTCATCTGCATATCTGAGGTTATTGATATTTCTCCTGGCAGTCTTAATTTTAGCTTGTGCTTCTTCCAGCCCAACATTTCTCGTGATGTACTCTGCATATAAGTTAAATAGGCATGGTGACAATATACAGCCTTGATGTACTCCTTTGCCTATTTGGAACCAGTCTGTTGTTCCATGTCCAGTTCTAACTGTTGCTTCCAGACCTGCATACAGGCTTCTCCAGACGCAGTTCAGGTGGTCTGGTATTCCCATCTCCAGAATTTTTCACAGTTTATTGTGATTCACACAGTCGAAGGCTTTGGCATAGTCAATAAAGCAGAAATAGATGTTTTTCTGGAACTCTCTTGCTTTTTCGATGATCCAGCAGATGTTGGCAATTTGATCTCTGGTTCCTCTGCCTTTTCTAAAACCAGCTTGAACATCTGGAAGTTCTCTGTTCACGTATTGCTGAAGTCTGGCTTGGAGAATTTTGAGCATTACTTTACTAGTGTGTAAGATGAGTGCCTTTATGCAGTAGTTTGAGCATTCTTTGGGATTGCCTTTCTTAGGGATTGGAATGAAAACGGACCTTTTCTAGCCCTGTGGCCACTGCTGAGTTTTCCAAATTTGCTGGCATATTGAGTGCAGCACTTTCACAGCATCATCTTCCAGGATTTGAAATAGCTCAACTGGAATTCCATCACATCCACTAGCTTTGTTCGTAGTGATGCTTTCTAAGGCCCACTTGACTTCACATTCCAGGATGTCTGGCTCTAGGTGAGTGATCACACCATTGTGATTATCTGGGTCATGAAGATCTTTTTTGTACAGTTCTTCTGTGTATTCTTGCCACCTCTTCTTAATATCTTCTGCTTCTGTTAGGTCCATAGCATTTCTATCCTTTATTGAGCCCCTTTTTGCATGAAATGTTCCCTTAGATTAAAGCAACATGATTATTTTGCAGGTGGGGAGGTGTGAGCTAAAACCGCTTATAAGCTACTGAAATAGCACACAATTCCTGTCAACCCAACTCTTATGCTCACTAATTCAACAGGACAGGATTTACTGACAATGTGAGAACTGCATTTCTATTCTAAATGAATGTGGAAATTACAGATTATACACCTCTGGAAAAGTCATTAAGAAGAGCATCTGCTTTATGAGTTTAAACAAAATAACCTGGTTTTAAGAAAATAAATAAATGATCATCTGTGCTTTGCTTCCCTGAATAAGACAGCTGTTGCTGGAGTCAAAAGGAAATAAGTCCCTCATGTCTGTGGGCACCTGGCCAAGTGTGTTACTGGGAATGTCGCCTTTCCTGAGGCACCAGGTCCAGAACAGGTAAGTCTGCACTTAGGCAGATGGCTGGGTCCTACCAGCAGGAAAGACAGCTGGGATCATTATGTTCCTTTCAGGTACTGAACAAAACATCAGTATTTCTCCTTTTGCCCTTGAGACTGAATACACCCTTACATGGTTTTGATTGCCTGTTGCTGCTACTGCTAAGTCATTTCAGTCATGTCCAACTCTGCGGCCCCGCAGACGGCAGCCCACTAGGCTTCCCTGTCCCTGGGATTCCCCAGGCAAGAGCACTGGAGTGGGTTGCCATTTCCTTCTCCAATGCATGAAAGTGAAAAGTAAAAGTGAAATCGCTCAGTCGTGTCCGACCCTTCGTGACCCCATGGACTGCAGCCCACCAGGCTCCTCCGTCCATGCGATTTTCCAGGCGAGAGTCTGGAGTGGGCTGCCGTCGCCCTCTCCGTTGGTTGCTTGACCTGAGCAAACAGCATTTTTTAAGTCACAAGCTCCAACCTGGCCTAGTGAAAAGAATAACACACTTGGTGCTGCAGTCTGGGCTTAGGTCCGAACACCCCTCTCAGCAGTCAGTTATGTGACTTCATGTGGGCAGGTCACTCACACATCTCTGAGCCAAGGCTTTCTCACTTGTAAAAATGGGGTCATTACTCTTCCTATCTTTTGTGATTTGGTGATTACATGAGAATCTCTAACATAAAAGTACTTTCTAGGCAGAACTGGAACATAAAGGGAAGGCATTCTATTTCCAGCAACATGGATGGACCTAGAGATGATCACACTAAGTGAAGACAGAGAAAGAGAAAACCATATGATGTCACTTAAGTGCAGAATCTAAAACACGATACCAATGAAGTTATTTATGGAACAGAAATAAACTCACAGACACAGAAAGCAAACTTATGCCTACCAAAGGGGGGGAGGAGTGGGAGAGATAAATTAGGAGTTTGGGGCTAGCAGATACAAACCACTATATATCAAATAAACAAACAACAAGGTCCTACTATATAGCACAGAGAACTATAGTCAATATTATGTATTAAACTAAAATGGAAAAGAATACGAGGAAATATATATATATACACACATATATATGAATCATTAGCTGTATACCAGAAACTAACACAATATTGTAAATCAATTTCAATTAAAAAAAATGAAAGAAAAAAGGGAGGCATTCATGTCTTTAGGGATTTTGGTGATGAGATAAGAAGAGTATTAGAAAACGTTTCATTATGACTCTCCACCCACACCCAGTGGAATCCAATGGCTTCAGCAAATTATGCTTAGCCAGGTGGTCACTGTTTCCCTCCCCATCTTGTTTAAGCACCCACTTCAGTTTTCTAGATTCACAGACACAGAACTTGAACCCCAGTTCATGACTGAGCATCTGCTAAACACATGCTATGGGTATGGCGTCACTCTACAGGGCAAAGAGGTGGGAGAAGGGAAGCCTGCTGCCGCAGAAGGGCTTGTGCAGGACACGGGCACAGGAGGAAGGGAGAGAACGCAGCCTGGAACCAGGAGGCGGTCTGGCGCTTGGGTGCTTCGGGACCATTTGCAGCACCCCAAATGCTTCTTGAAAATCAAGGACTGTTAGGAAATGGAGGGCAGAACAAAGCGGGACAGAAAGGAATAGTCGGGGTCCCCCCTTCCCTCTGGGCAGCAACACGAGAAGGCGCTTTCCAGCCCTCCCGCTCTGACCCCGACCCTGGGCCGGGGGCTCGGGGCCCAGGCTGCCACCGCCGAGCCTTGTGGTCCTTGGAGCTTGGCGAGTGGACCCGTGGACGCCCGTCCGTGTGGCAGAGCGCGAGCTACCTGGTGTGGCTGTTGGAGGACAGGCTCTCCCAGGGCTGCCCGCTGCACCCGGCCACCGCGAAGGCGCCCCCGCAGCTGCCGTCCAACTTCATGAGCAGGGCCTTGGCGGCGTTCTCCGCTGTCTTCCGGCAGTCGTGGGCTCGCTTGAGCATCTGAGTAATGTTTTCATCCCCTGACTGGTCCCCTGCAAGAAGCCGAGGGGTTAATCAGCACTGCTTTAGATCAGTGAGGCTGGGTGGTGGGGGCAGGCACTCGAGGTGAAGACAGGGGCGGGGCCCGTGACAGAGCAGGCGACCGGGGGCCAGGCCCTTCACCCAGAAGCTGCGTCGAGGAAGGCTTTCTCTTCCCCAACAAACGAAGGGCTGGCCCGTGGGAGAGCCGAGCTCTGTGTCCAGCGGCAACCTGCTCTGATCTCCTAACTCCCGAGGCTCCTGGCAGCTCCTGGCACGCAATCCTAATCTCCTGTGCGGCCGTCTCCCTCACGCTGCGCAGCGCTTCCTTGGGAGCGAGGCCAAGGGAAATTGGGGCCGAACTTCGCTGTTTCCACATGTCCGCGGCTTCACTTAGAACTTCATGTAGGCATGAGACACAGAACTAATGGTTAAAACGAAATCTTGGGATTGGCTCTGATGTCCTGCGTGGAGGATCTCCCTGACCAATCTCCCCGAGCGCGGACATGTCCAGGGGCAAACTCCATGCCTCTCACAGCCAGCTAGCGCCTGCAGCAAGACTCAGGGTGCGGGCCACCAGCATGCAGTGGCAGTGGACTGGGAGTCCCCTGCCCAAGACGGCCATGTTCTGGCTGCGCTTTCAAAAACTCTGCAGGCCAAATAAGTCAGCCCAGTCACAGCCCAGTCCCTCAGTCTTCCAAATATTTATAAGTGAAATCTTACACCAAAGTCTAAGATACAAAAATGGTAACTATGAAACTGGCTTAAGTGGGCAGGGGGTATGGGGAGGGGGATACACTCAGCTTTCCCACCCTCCAAGCCCAACACTGAGGCCCAAAGAAACTCCTCCAGATTCCCAGGCACTGTCTAAATCGGCCAGGATGAATGGCTGTGCAGTCAAGAAGAAACGAAGGAGAAATGCCCATAACTGACACTGTGGATGAACGTTACAACTTGTTCTTGCTGTGAGACTCCTGGCACGTTAGGGCAGGACAGCACATCACTGCCACTGTTGGCAGAATGGGAGTCAGGTTTAACAGGGAGCTGCTAAAAAGTAATTTTAAAAGGCTGTTAAATAACATACTTTACAGATGTCTCACAACTGACTGCTCTCTGAATTCTGAAGAGGCATAGTAACTGACTGCTCCATTTTATAAACAGACCCATGAGCCAACCAGGATTATGTGAATACAAGACATTTTATTATTGATTTTAAATACTTAAAATGCAGATTTAAGTCCTTTTAGCTCCTATCCAAGTCACTGTGCTGAATGGGGAGAAGCTTCATATGAGGTGCCTTTTGTGGCTAGAATGGTCTAAGACAGTCCTCTGATAAAAAGTAGAAATAAGATGATTGATTTTTTGCCTTTAATTGATTATTTTCCTTAATACTTATATTAAAGAAAAAACTTGACAGTAAGCCAAGATCATTTTAGGATTCTGTTTAATAGGAGGAATAAAGTTTTATGGTTTGGTTAAAAGACCCTGAAAAATGAGCTTCCTAATGGAAATGCTGGCAGAGTTTCTACTGCTGGACTGGAGGGTAATACTATTTAAAAAACAAAACAAAACAAAACAAAAAACCCAACAAAACCCAGAAAACCCAGAGACAGAGGTGGAGGATGGTCACACATATAAATGGAGGCCTACTTCCTCGCTGGGTGACTAGGATATGAAGCAGGAAATTAATACCCAGGATACTTCCTTTCTTTCAGATTCCTGTCCATGTCAAAATGGAGGAAAGGAAGGAAGGAGGAAAAACAGGTAAGTGTTTGTTCAGTGCAAAAGCTAGAGCCCGGGGCTTCCTTGTGGCCCAGAATGGTCAAGAATCCACCGGCCAACGGAGGAGACACTGTTTCAATCCCTGGTCTGGGAAGATCCCACATGCCACATGGTAACCAAACCCATGCACCACACTACTGAGCCTGCACTCTAGAACCCAGGAGCTGCAGCTGCTGAAGTCCGCACGCCTAGAGCGTGTGCTCCGCAACAACAGAAGCCACCACAGAGAAGCCTACTCACTGAAACGAAGAGTAGCCTCTGTTCTCCACAACTAGGGAGAGCCCAAGTGCAGCAAAAAAGACCCAGCATAGCCAATAAACAGATAAATAAAACTATTAAAAAAAAAGACCTTTGAAATTCAGTTTAGTCACTCAGTTGTGTCCAATTCTTTGTGATCCCATGGACTGCAGCACGCCAGGCCTCCCTGTCCATCACCAACTCCAGGAGATTACTCAGACTCATGCCCATTGAGTCAGTGATGCCATCCAACCATCTCATCCTCTGTCATCCCCTTCTCCTGCCCTCAATCAGGACCCTGCCCAGCATCAGGGTCTTTTCAAATGAGTCAGCTCTTTGCATCAGGTGGCCAAAGGATTGGAGTTTCAGCTTCACCATCAGTCCTTCCAATGAACACCCAGGACTGATCTCCTCTAGGATGGACTGGTTGGATCTCCTTGCAGTCCAAGGGACTCTCAAGAGTCTTCTCCAAAACCACAGTAAAAAACTTTCAATTCTTCGGCACTCAGCGTTCTTTATAGTCCAACTCTCACATCCATACATGACCACTGGAAAAACCATAGCCTTGACTAGACGGACCTTTGTTGGCAAAGTGATGTCTCTGCTTTTTAACATGCTATCTAGGTTGGTCATAACTTTCCTTCCAAGGAGTAAGTGTCTTTTAATTTCATGGCTGCAATCACCATCTGCAGTGATTTTGGAGCCCAAGAAAATAAAGTCAGCCACTGTTTCCCCATCTATTTCCCATGAAGTGATGGGATTGGATTCTATGATCTTAGTTTTCTGAATACTGAGCTTTAAGCCAACTTTTTCACTCTCCTCTTTCACTTTCATCAAGAGGCTCTTTAGCTCTTGTTCACTTTCTGCCATAAGGGTGGTGTCATCTGCATATCTGAGGTTATTGATTTTTCTCCCGGCAATCTTGATTCCAGCTTGTGCTTCCTCCAGCCCAGCATTTCTCATGATGTACTCTGCATATAAGTTAAATAAGCAGGGTGGCAATATACAGCCTTGACCTACTCCTTTTCCTATTTGAAACCAGTCTGTTGTTCCATGTCCAGTTCTAACTGTTGCTTCCTGACCTGCATACAGGTTTCTCCAGAGGCAGGTCTCTCAGAATTTTCCAGTTTATTGTGATCCACACAGTCAAAGGCTTTAGCGTAGTCAGTAAAGCAGAAGTATATGTTTTTCTGGATCTCTCTTGCTTTTTCAATGATTCAGCAGATGTTGGCAATTTGAGCTCTGGTTCCTCTGCCTTTCGTAAAACCAGCTTGAACATCTGGAAATTCATGGTTCATGTACTGCTGAAGCCTGGCTTGGAGAATTTTGAGCATTACTTTACTAGCATGTGAGACGAGTACATGTTAGTTTGAGCATTCTTTGGCATTTCCTTTCTTTGGAATTGGAATGAAAACTGACCTTTCCCAATCCTGTGGCCACTGCTGAGTTTTCCAAATTTGCTGACACACTGAGTGCAGCACTTTCACAGCATCATCTTAGGATTTGAAATAGCTCAACTGGGATTCCATCAGGTCTTATTAAAAAAAAAAAAAAAAAAGGAAAGCTAAAGACTGGGCAGGGAGGGAAGAGCTGGCAAGCAGGACGGGAGATGCACTCAGGAGGTACCCTGACGGGACCTTCTTTGCAAGGTGTGTCCTGGAAGGACCAGCCTTACTATGGGCTCACAGCCTAGGAGGAAAAGCGACTCATGACGGGTGGCCTGCTTGCCAGCCTGCGCAGAGTGCCCACCTTTGACTTAAGTCGTCTGGTCAGTTTTTTGTTCACTTGTCGTGGTTTCTCAGGAGAAGCTACTGTGGTCAAGTGTAGGCTGAGGGAGCCAGGAAGCCCCAGCACCAGGGGCCTCTGTCGCTGAATCTCTGTTTCCTTCCAAACACTGTTTCTACTGTCAGCGTCCCCATGTTATCTCAAGGCCCACAGACATAGTCAAGGGTGAAGTTTTGGTAAATGACGGTGACATAGGATGACTTGCTTGTGTCTTTTTCAGTTCATAGCCCTTCTAGTTACTCAGCCCTGGAGCACAGCAGTGGGGGCACGGTGTGGGTCTGGAGGACAAATGATGCCAACCCTGGGGGATGCATGACCCCCGGAGTGGGGCAGGGGAGGTGGGCAGCAGGCCCCCGGGGGTTGGCAGTTGGTGAGGCTGAAGATAACAAGGTGTGAAACGTTCCTCTGCATTCCTGTGTCACCTGGACAGCAGGTAGGAGGAACCCATGTTCGTTTGAGTCCAAAGGAACAAACCTGGAGAAAATGCACTGCCAGATGAGGCAAAGGCCTTGTGGGCAGCACAGGGACCCTCAGACACCAGCATCACAGGGAGGCCGTGGGAGAGCTGGTCCTTTTCAGGGTGAACCTGGGCCTCTCCTAGAGTTGGCCTGGGGGAGTATGTTTCCTGAGACAGCCTGTTTGTTTTAACTTGTCTGTAATGCTGTTTCCACTTCAGTTCCTGCTGCATTCAACATAAACAATTTACTCACTCGGTCATGAGGAAGAAATGAAAAACACACTTGACAAGTGGATTTCATGTTGTTGGGAGGCGTGCCAGTGCCAACAGCCGCGATGGGGGGCAGGAGACCAAAAGAGGCTGGGGGACGGCGAGCAGGGGCCAGAGGGACCCGGCCACACTTACCAGGGGACGACCCCACACCGGCCGCCCGGAACTGCCCCAGGATGAGGCTCTGCTCGCTCTCAGCCAGAGCCAGGAGGAGTTCATAGGCTTCGATGCACTGCTCGCTGAAACAGAAGCACATGGCGCCGTCAGCTCGGGCGGAGAAGCGAGTCCCCTGGTGCAGGGCTGAGCTCAGCCTCCCGCCCGGGTTGGCAAGGACACGCCCACAGTTACTCATGGGCAGTCAGGGGCTTGCTCTGCCTTGTGGCCCGCTCCCTGCCCTGCTTTGAAAAAACAAAACGAAACTTTAGACTATGATCTAGAAAAATACAAGGGAAGCAATGAAGATGAGAGGGGCGCGCCTTTGATGATCGGCTCGAAGGGAAAGGTGATACAGCGACCAGCCCTCTGGGTGCTCCTCGCCCACTTGGATCGCCACACCTTGTGTAATCCCCTTCCACAAGGCTGCAGGGTTGGTTTGTGTGACTAAGAGAATAAGGCAAAAGTGATGGGTTACCACATCCAAGGTTGGTTATTAAAGAACGTGATGATTTCCATCTTGGTCTTTCTCTCTCTTTCCTCCCTAACCTTTTCCTCTTGGAACATCCTTCTCAGAGGAGGCCAGCTGCCACGTCTTGAAGACCTTTGAGCAGCCCTATGGAGCAGCCCGTGTGGTTAGGAACTAAGGCGCCAGCCAATCGCCAGTGAAGGACAGAAGATTCTACTCGAAGCCTTTCGAAGCAGATCTGCTAGCTCCAATTAAGCTGACGCAGCTCTGGCTGAGAGCTTGACCAAAAACTCAAGAGACCTAGAGCCAGAACCACCTAGACAAATCACTCCCAGATTCCTGACCCCAGAAGCTTTGACATAATAAACAGTTATACAATAACAGGTAATTCATATAGCAGCCCAGAAAGGGGACTGTTTTAACTGAGACCTGCCTGTTCAATAGAGTGACCACTGGCCACATGTGAATATTTAAATGAAAAAGAACTTAAGGTAAATAAAATGAACACTCAGTTTCTCTGTGGCAGTAGTCATATTTCATATGTTTAACAGCCATGTATGGCTAGCAGTTGCCGTACTGGATAACACAGAGAACAGCTCCATCATCACAGAAAGTTCTGCCAGAGGCTTGTAAAGCTGTGTCATGCAACACTCACAAAATCTCTGACAAGAGCTGGACTGTGGTGCTCTCTCTTCGGGTACACAGACAGAGGATCAAACAGCGACCTCTGGAAAGCCACTGCTGCCTGTGGCCCCACAGGGACCCACGTCTGCACTGGATGGAGTGTGTGTATAATGCTCGAGTCATCCTGGCCAAATGCCTGCGGTAGTGAAAATCACCCCAGGCAAAGAATTGATGAGCTTCTCTAAGCTGGGCAGGGGAAATGTGGCTTTACCCAACACTTAGTCAACAGATTTTTTTTTTTATTGTCTTTACTTTCAAGTCCCTTTACTAAGAGACAGGAAAGAGAGTCCAATGACTGCCTCTGGGTGCTGGCAGCTCCCCTTCTCAAGGGCAGTTGGTCTTTCACGTTAGAGATGCTGGGACGTTGCTTCTTCTGTGTAGATGAAAGGGAGACTGAGGGTGCAGAGAGCCTGTTTCAAGAGCGGCCACAGAGGATTATCTGTTTGCTCTCCAGCTTTGGTCTCCTATATTTTGGTTTGATATATATATATATTTTTTTTTTGAAGAAGCAATGTTTCTTAAAACAATACTGAATTCTTTGAGGGGATGCCAAGAGTAAGATATAGTCACTACTCTGGAACTTTGGTAAATATGCCTAAGTGGTGACACTAATATAATAATAAGTCTATGAGAACAATAATAAAGCTGAGTTTTGTAGTTATTAAATAAGTAGTAATTTAAAAATAGATAAATTCCAAAGCTGATGAAGCTGAAAAAAAAAAGTGGTACATTCATATACCACTTGCTCATCAATGAATTAATCACATTCATTTAAACTGGTTTTTTTTAATGGGAAAAAAACTGGCAACATGCCTGAAAGACATGAAAATATTCATATCTTTTGATCTATAATTCTGCTCCAGGGATTTTATCACAAGGAAAATACAAGAATGACAATTTTTGTATTAAATTATTCACCACAGAATTATTTTCAATATCAAGAGTCTGCAAGAGTCTAAATGTCTTTTAGAGAAATGAATAATAATGCCATATAAACTTGATGGAGGGGATACAGTCAGTCTAAATAAATGGAGACTTTTAAGCAATAATATAACAGTTTAACAAACTGAAGGAGGAAAATGCATTAGATTTACCACAATGCAGAATATAATATGAACATAAAAAAAGTCTGGGAAAAAAAAGACTGGAAGAACAAGAAATGAACATGTAACACAAAATTTGATGTTTTGAGTGATGCTGTTGTTTAGTCACTAAGTCGTGTCTGATTCTGTAGCCCAACAGGCTTCTCTGTGCATGGGATTTCCCAGGAAGAATACTGGAGTGTGTTGCCATTTCCTCCTCCAAGGGACCTTCCAACCCAGGGATCGAACCCCCATCTCCTGCATTGGCAGGCGGATTCTTTACCACGGCCAAAGGGAAGCCTTTGAGTGATATTACTTAAATGAAATAATATTTCAGTTGAACATTGCTAACAGAAACATACCTGTTTTACTAATACCACACTCATCATCCTTATTTTCAGGGTGCTAACTGATTTTTAATATTTATCACACTAGCATTTGCTGGTCCAGTCCTCTAGTGACATTTTCTAAAACCCTGTTTTCCGCTTTCATGCAGAAGCTTTCTGTGGATGCCCTCCTGAACGGAAGTGGCCTGCCGGCCGCCCACCTGTACTGCAGTGCCAGCCGCAGCGCCGTGGCATTGGATTCGTACTTCCCCACCAGCATGCTCAGCCTCTCGGCGTTGCTCTTGCATTCTTCCAGGGTTATGGTCAGAAGGTCATTCTGGGATTTGAGGTGTTCGATACGGCTACAAAGGAAGGAAAATCACATTCACAATTTTACACTAGGATTACAATGCGTTTGCCAAGATTTTAGTCATCCACTCTAGATTCTGGCCAAAATGCATGTTAGGATATGAGCTCATCAGATGTTTTAGCAAATGCAACTGATGAAAAGTAATAAAGGAAGCAACTCGAAGCTGAAGAATCATTAAATTCTGTGTGAATTAGAAATAAAAATTGCCCCCTAGGTATTTCACAACCAGTCATGGATGAGCCATTTGCCAGGTAAAGTGCTAGGTTTGGGAGATACACCATGGTAAGGAGCACTAACCTTCATGAGAGTTAAGACTCAGATGCTCCAATAAACCACCCTCCACCCTCCACAAGGACAAATGAAAAGCAACCCTTACAGAGCTACTATTTGTTAAGCCCTTGCTCAGTAACTCTCCCAACGGCCCTTTGAATTAAGTATTAGTATCTTCATTTCTCAGAGGAGGCACAGAAATATTTATCCTTGAGCTCTGAACCAGTGTGACCCCAGATCCTTGACTCAGAATGCTCACGACAGGGCAGGAGCAAAGGATGAATCAATGAGTGAAGAAGAAACTGCACTTGAGGGGTGCCTGAGCGGCAACTGTGGAGTGTATCCAAAGCTCTGTCCAGCTCGGACAGTCCCCTAACTGCTAACTACCGGCAGGATAGTCAGCGGATAACGATAAGTTTTATAAAAATCAGAACTGTAAATTCAAGGCAAAAGAGTTTATGGCAAAGTTAGAAAGCAGATTAGGAAAGCCTTCAGCCTTCAGCCTTTGTTTTCTGTCCCAGAACACTGATGCTCTGGATGCAATGATGCATCTTCCCACAGGACATGCCCATCTTCAGTATTCTGATCACCAAGTCTTAAAGAGACATAAGGTTTCACACTCACAAAATGTTAAGAGCTTGGAAGCCATCTGCCTTGAGGATCAATTTTAGGACCACGCATCTTAGCACATGTAACCAAGACTGTTGCGTGGCTTTGGCAACAACAAGGTCAATTCAACGCAAGGTGTTACAGGATACAGTTTTCTGTCTTTGTTCACATGATGGCCTCTTCAGAGACTTCCCACCCTCTCATTCACTTCTTGACTTGCTCCAGTTACATTCAGTCCCTACTAATCAGATGAAACCATTTACCCAGCTCCCAGACCTCCATGTGGTCTTTCTCAAACAGCACCCCTGTATCGACGGCTCCTACCTTTTTAAAAACATTCTCCTTCATTTGGGTCATGACAGGTGTTTACTGGTTTTCTCCCTGCCGAAAGGCTATTATTTCTCCTGTCTCCTCTGCTGCCTCCCTCTTCTCTATATAATCTGTGAAGGTTGACATTCCCTTAGGACTCAGTCCCAGGTCCACTCCTCTATCAGCACTCTCCCCTGAGGGCACTTTTATCCAGTCCCATGACTTTCACAGGCATTTATGTTCCCATGGCTCCCAGAGTCTTAGTTCATACCTCTCGTTACTGCTAGTCTCACATATTAGGGTTTCACACAGACACCTCAACATGGGATTCTTGACTTTCCTCTAACCATAACTTCCTCCATCTTCCCCATCTCAGTAAATGCCACCACCATACACCCAAAAACAGAGGTAAGACATCTGCGAATCTTCTTTGAGACTGTCCCTTATTTTATACATCTGTGGATTTTTATCACCACACATACAATGACCCCTTCAAACTGCCTACTTGGCTGTGCTCATTCACTGCAGAACTGGCTCAGCTTCCACCCCTGCCCACCCCTTTCCATTCTGCACATCTGAGTGAACTTTTAAAATTTAAATCAAATCTGTTCTTCTCCTACATAAAATGCCTTAACAACTTCCAGCGGCACTTTGTCTATGGCCTCAAATCCCACAGCACACCCAGCCCTGACTACTTCACCACCTTGTGATGGGGCTCCTCCTTTCACTCATTCTGTTTCAGTTGGGACTGGGGCAATTCAGACTTCATGCCAGCCACTTCCCAGCCTTGAAGTTGATAAGTTGGCTCTTAAGACTCTTCCTGGTTTGTCACATGGCTGTTCCTTTTCCCGCCTAAAAAATCTCAATTGAAATTTCCCCCCTTCAGAGATGCCTCCCCTGTCTTCGTACCTAAAATCAAGGCTACCTTTTATTTCGTCACAGTGTCATATTTACTTGGAGCTTTCCCATGTTCTTATTGGTCTGTTTTTGCTTAACTTCCTTAACAGGATATAAGCTCCATGAAATCTTGTGTGTTTTACTTTCTTTGGCATCCAAAGAGCCCAGCGTATAGTAGGTGCTTATATCTGCATGCTGCGTGCTAAGCTGCTTCAGTCGTGTCCGACTCTGTGCAACTCTGTGGACTGTAGCCCGCCAGGCTCCTCTGTCCATGGGATTTTCCAGGCAACAATACTGGAGTGGGTTGCCATTTCCTCCTCCAAGGGACCTTCCCGACCTGCGTATCTCCTGCACTGGCAGCCAGGTTCTTTACCACTAGCGCCACCTGGGAAGCCCAAAAATCAACAATACTTTTGAGTAGGCATGACCCACTCCATGCCTCTACCACATACAAACACAAGTTAAAGGCTGTCATACTTTTAGAGTGTAATAGGACTCCGACTTTGAGATAGGTAGTTAAATAAAAGATATCAGAACATACTGGTAGATAATTTACAAGCACTCCCAATTTCTAGCAGTAGCTGTGATAATACAGAAAACAATGGAGAAGAGGTGGACAGGCAGGGGTTGACCAGCTGGGCTATTTAATAGCTCTGGACTTGAGGCAAGTCATTCAGTGTGAAAACGTTTGCTTTCTAATTTGCAAAATGGGGCTATTCTGCCCTCCCAACTTGAGGATTTAGGGTTGTCTGTGAGAGTCTTTGGAAAGCTGTTAAACTCCATGACCGTGTGAGCTACAAGCACCACATAGTTCCCCCTTCTTTGGTCTCTTTTAGCTGCATCTAATTGAAGAGAAAGGACTCCCCTCAATTCAACCACAAGGCAGGCTTGTTAAATCCCAGAATCTGCTGAGAGGAGATCCTCCTACGCAGAGGGCCCCTGAACTATCTGACTTCACTCAATTGCAAAGGGCCTATCTGATTCCGTTTTTAGCACTCCCCTGCCTGCGATACTGAGAGCACTGCTTCTTTACCGCTACAAGGTAATCATCAGGATTGTCACTCTTAAGTTACTGCTACAAGGTAATCATCAGGATTGTCACTCTTAAGTTACAGCTACAAGGTAATCATCAGGATTGTCACTCTTAAGTTACTGCTACAAGGTAATCATCAGGATTGTCACTCTTAAGTATTTTGGATTTAATAAGGAAACCATTTAATTTCAAGATTTAAAATGACCTAGACTGCCACATTTCCTTGGTTCTCAAGTACTATATTAAACAGCTTCAAATCAGGGAGGACTAACAGGATAATTCAATTTATTCAGGTTTGCCATACACAAGGGGAATGGCATGAAGCAATGGTGGGTGGGGACCGGCACCCATGCTTCTTACGGGTTGGCTCACAAGCCTCTCCAGTCCTTACTAGGCACCCCCTGAAGACGGCTGGGTGAGGGCAGCCGCCGCACGCTCGGCTGCCATTCAACCACTGTGGGGCCAGTTCTGAGTCAGAGCAGTCACCACGGCTTGGCCCTGCTCCTTCTCTTTTGTTTTTTTAACAACCTCTTTCATTGCTGGGGTGACATACAAGCCAGTCTTTGCCAAAGAGGCAGGACAAACTCAAACCACCTCTGTCATAAGATCTGGGAAGAACCGATAAAACAGGGCACACAGTTAAATTATTCTAAGCAGTTAGACCTACTTAGAAAATCTGAACTAAGTAGAATAGGATGTAGGGATGGGAGGCTGTACACATTTGCGAAAAGCATAAATAAAATGAGGCAACCCTTGACTGGAGCAGGGAGGGTCAGACCAGCATGCCCGGTCCACCCCAGAAATGTCTTGATCAGATCCCTTCTGCCGACTCCACAGCCCAGAGCTGCTGTCTCCGGTTCTCAGTAGCTCCAGCCTGCACGCTAGGGAGCCATCTTGCCATCCCGACCTACTTGTCATTCCACACGGACTGCTCCTTAGTTTGTTAGGGCCAGCACACAAGGAAAAGGGGGCGGGGGGTTCCCTGGGGTACAGGGGGTAAGAATGCGACCACCAATGCAGGGGACATGGGTTCGATCCTTGGTCTCGGAAGATTCCAGATGCCGCAGGGCAGTGGAGTCCGCGTGTCACAACTCCTGAGCCCGTACATGTGACTACTGGAGCCAAGAGGGGCCTGTGCGCTGAAGCCAGGAGTTGCAACTAGAGAAAGTCCGAGGGCAGCAACGAAGAGCCAGCATAGCCAAAGATAAGTAGATAAACAAATACAGCAGCGTGTTAAAAAAGAAAGAAGACAGGGCCCCTGGTTCATAAGTTATTAAGAATTTAAAACAGCACAACTAACGCTTAAGACAGTGACAGCAGGGCAGCGAAGCAAGGGTGGCCTCCCTCTAGGCATCAGGCCCGTGCATCTGACAAGGTCACACGAGGCCACAGAGCCGGCCTCCTGTGCGGGGCAGGGCGGTGCAAATCCCGCCTGCCTGCTCGCCAGCGTCACACCCAGCCCTGATTCATGAGCCAGCCTCAGTGGGGCTTTGGGAAGGGACTGGTTTCCCCTCAACACCACCACCAAACACACAGGATTCCTCCTTACCTGTTCAGCCTCTCCGTTTCCACCTCAAACTCTCTAATCTTGCTTTCCGAGATGGCAGATCCATGGGAATAGAGAGTCTGGAAGATTTCCTGAATGTTGGAGCAGTCCTGAAGAGAGTGGGCCAGGTGCTCTGCCACACTGCTGGACACCTGGACAGGTGAGCATTAATTCCCCTCTGGACAAAGCCACTTCCGGGATGCTGGGCCCCAGGCCCTTGCTTCCCAATTTAAACCGTTAAGTTTTCAACAGTTTAAAGCCAATGTTCCTTGAGAATTGGGCACCAGGAGATAGCTACCCAGATACTTTTCAGTTTCTATAATATGATCCTAGTATAAAAAGTTAACTACTGTGAATGCAGTACATAAACAGGGTCAAAATGCAACTGCATCACCTAAGCTCAGGATCCTCTGAGCAGCAGGATGAAAGATCCTGAGTCTTGGGACCTAAAATTTTGCATATTAAATAGTCTGGACACCCTTTCTCCTTCCTAAACCCATTGCCACCCTCAAACCTTGTCTCATGGTTGTTGTAGCTAAGGTGAACATCCCATTCCTTCACTTTCATAATTCGGCTTTGGCATGGAAGCTGGGTGCCTGCAATTTCTGCCCAGTGCAAAATTCTAAAATAGGGCCTTAAAAGGGCTGTTTGTGTTTTCCCATCCCTAAGGGTCACACCAGTCAATCTTCAGGGAAATCAACCCTGAGTAGCTGTTGGAAGGACTGATGCTAAAGCTCCAATATTTTGGTCATGTGAGGCTAAAAGTCGACTCATTGGAAAAGTCCCTGATATTGGGAATGATTGAGGGCAGGAGGAGAAGAGGGCATCAGAGGATGAGATAGCTGAACGGCATCACCGATGCAATGGACATGAACTCGGGCAAACTTCGGGGGATGGTGAGGGACGGGGAGGCCTGGCGTGCTGCAGTCCATGGGGTTGCAACAGTCGGACATGGCTGGGCAACTGAGCAACATTAACGAGGATCAAATAACTGGATTTTCCAGCCTCACCCCTGCCTCAAAGACATCCCCAGGGAACTGAAATTATTCTCTTTTCATTATACATCAGTTCACAGCCCCAGGGTATTCGGCACTCTACAAATGAGAACTCCAGAACTGAGCTAGAAGGTTCTGGTCTGTCCCAGCATCAGCCACACTTCAAAGGCAGCGATCCTTCCCACTGGAGAGCACCTTCCCTTTCAAGAGGGACGTGAGGATAGTCAAGTTCTCTTAGAGCTTCCTGACTCACTTGGTCTCTGGGGAAGCAGGGTGATATAAAGCAAGTATTTCAAGACTTTCATCTGTATCGCCAGTAACAAGACCGCAATCATTTCTTTCTGAATGGTTTCAACTAGAGAAACAAGAAGCTCCCTTTAAAGCTGAAGGGGTAATTCACCACTGGCAAACCACTAAGCATTTTAATCTGATCCTTTGGAAGGAAATCAGGTATGATTTCTTATTACAATCACTTGGTTGACTGGAGGGACCCTGGGCAGTGCTTCTATCATGGATAAGCCACTGTGTGGTTCTATTATGTGACATGTCAGTTTGCTTCTCATGAACACTCACACTCACCCCAATGCTGCTGATTTCTGAGCCTAGGACTGGGCGATCAGACGACGAAGATTCAGACCTGGTCTTGGAGAGCTTCACCCTCTCGGCGATCTTAACAAAAAAACCAAAACAAATGATCAAAAAACAACACACGCCACTCCCCATATAAACTACTGAGACTGTTTTTATACAGGGCTACTCTTGAACCATGGCAACTAAACCATCAGTTCTTAAAAATGACTCACGTGTCTGATTTTTCTGCCACCTGCTTATTAACTCATGGTTTTTCAGAGTTAATACCACTGACATTTTGAGTTGGATATTGTTTGCAGTGGGGGACTGTTCTGTGCACTATGAGATGTTCACCAGCATCCTTGGCTTCTAGCCACAGTACTCTAGGTGTGACCATCGAAAAGGTGTCCAGACATGGCCAAACAGCCCTTGGGACAAAAATCACTTCTGGCTGAGGAGCACTGGTGAGACTTCATAAACTTGATGGTTGACAACTAACCTTGTTGCAGAGACTGGCAGGGCTACTGGGAAAAGGACATGTAATCATGTGAACAGTCTCTCTGGGGTGGACTCAACATAGGAAGGGGGTCGGGGGCTGTGGCTGAGAATGGAGGGGCTACTTCTCACAGCTGCTGGGGCCTGCCCATCACTGTCATCTATTTTCCTGCTGGCAGGGCTGTCAGTTCTGGGAGTGGGCAGATCATTGGTGCATTACTCAGGGTCTCCTGGGCTGAACCATGATCCTCGAGAGCACTCTCTATCCAGCCTGTGACAGAACATCTCACTCTCCACAACGACCTGTCAGCTGGGACAGACTCTGGCCTGCTGATTAATGAGAGCTGGCATCCAGGCTGCAGCCAAGAGAGACTTAAAACTATTAGTGGGCTATCTCTTCCTGCAGCTCCAGCACGGGAGGCCTACGCAGGACCCTGGGAAGCCCTCGGGGCCCGCCGAGCTAATTGCGTGTTGGCACAGCGGCCCTGCCCCACGAAGGCTGGGGCTGCCCGCACACAGGCGGCGTCCCTGGAGCGCACCTTGGCGATGGGGATGTCGTTGCTGCTGCTGCTCGTGCTCAGCTCTCCGGTGCTGGGGTTAACGGGGCGGTTGGCGGAAGTGAGGCGGCCAGGGCTGGAGGGGCCCGTGGCCTGCACGCTCTGCAGTCGAGTTTGAAGCTCTCGAACCTGAAATGACAACCCCTTCAGGCACGGTGGTAGGTTCCCCCTGCCCAAAGAGCAGAAGGGCCAGTGGGTAGGGGGAGGGCAAAGCTTTCGTTTACATGAAGAAGCCAGCTTCCCTAACAACCGAAGTCAGCCGAGTCCACACAAAGGGCACTGCTGTTCTTAACTGGGCCTGCCATGGGCTGGCCAGCATCTGCCCTTCACAAGGTGGAGGGGGACGTGTGTTCTACGGTGCTGGAAGCTTCTCCCACAAGGAGAAGGGCCGTCTTTAAGGGATGTTCACTTACTCAGTCTTCTGTGTCTGGCACAAGAAACGGAACCCAGGATGACATTTGTACTTGTGTGGAGTTCGGAGGACAGAGATCATTTCAACATAAACACATGCCCATGCTATAAATATCAATCCAGGGTGGGTGCGTAGGAAGCAGGAAAGAGGAAGAACATGACTGCATCTGAAGTCGCTGGGGAGCTGTCTTTGAGCACAGCCTCCCAGGTGGACAGGGCTGCAGTGGATGAGATGAGTGAGGCACTGAGTGGGGAGGCCAACTTGGATGACACACGGTGTCTGAAGAACTGCAAGTTATTCAATAGGCATGGGGTAGGAGAGAGACCTGCTCTGGGAAGGAGGAGAGGCTATGGTGATGAGAGGGAGTTGGTACCCACGGCTTCTTCCCAAGGGACTTTGAGATGGGATTATCCTGGGGACAGTAGGAAGGAATACCTAATTCTCTTCAGTGTGGAGAGACCCAGAGCCCCCTCAATTACATTTAGAACACACATTTAGCTGCATAGAATTTAAATGTCCCAACTCTGCTTCTCTATGGTTACGGCTCACTGACATCCAAAGGGAGAAATGTCCCAAGCAAGTGAAGATGATTATTAGAAACTGGTCTTTCCGATGACCCTGGTCACAGTTTGATCACTGTATACAATGTCAGCCTTAAAGGGCACACTGACCGCAGCACCCAAGGGCCCTTACAAATGGGCACCAGACCGTCATGGGAAGAATCAGCACCAGGACATCTAAGCCTGGGTTTCCCCAACCTATTAGTGCACCAGAATGTCCCAGAGGGTTGGTTAAAAAACGGAGCCCAGGGCCCCGTCCGCAGAGGTCCTGCTCAGCAGGTGGAGACCACACCTAGGAGTCTGCATGTCCAAAAAGCGCCCAGGTGATGCTGACGCACCCGGCTGGCAGCAGTGACCTGCGGGCGGCCCAGGCCACACAGCGCTCGCTGTCTCAGAGACCAAGGAGCAGAGCTGCCCGTCTGCCGGCCCCAAGGCCACACCCTTCCAGGCAAACCGCTGTCTAAAAGTGACTGGAGGGCTTTCATTTTTAATATCTTGGATGTCTCCACCCTGTTAAATCGGGAACCAAAAGTAATTGAAATTTCAATAATTCATCAGCATACGAGAAGCCAAGACAGGAAAACTCCCTCGGAGCAAATTGCATTCAATGGTGAAACAGCTCAAAAGTGCCCAATAGTGCTCTGCGGTGGCGTCCAGTAACTGTGGGTTAACAGAAATGTGCATCGTCCCCATAAACAACACAGGGCGGCCCTCAAAGCCGTTTAAACACCAGAAAAACATATGCTGTCAAAGTCAAATGGGACTGCTGGTAAGAGATTACAGGGCTCGTCCTAGAGTGGTCCTGATGAACTGTGCCTCTCTGTGCCCCATGGCCGAGGGACAGGATGCGGCTTTCCATTTAGGCCAGCTTTTTGGCACCAGGAAAACCACTGTGGTGGAGACCGCGGGTTTCAGGTTCTGCTGCTGTCAAAGTCTGATGAGGTCCTGAATAAGGAACAGTGTTACGACCACTGCCAAATCTAAGGAGTGTCTGAAGCGAAGTGAAAGTTGGTCAGTTGTGTCCAGCTCTTTGTGACCCCATGGACTGTATAGTCCATGGAATTCTCCAAGCCAGAATATTGGAGTGGGTAGCCTTTCCCTTCTCCAGGGGATCTTCCCAACCCAGGGATCAAACCCAGGTCTCCCACATTGCAGGCAGATTCTTTACCAGCTGAGCCACGAGGGAAGCCCAAGAATTCTAGAGTGGGCAGCCTGTCCCTTCTCCAGGGGATCTTCCTGACCCAGGAAGAGAACCCAGGTCTCCTGCATTGCAGGCGTATTCTTTACCAACTGAGCTACCAGGGAAGCCCTAAGAGTGTCTGAATCCCTCCCCAAACAATCATTAGTCTGGGGCTCCAGAATCCTAACTGGTCCACTCATCTCTCTTCTTAAAAAGTAAAACATGGCCCTGGACATTTTATAAAACATAATTAAAACTACTCATGTTATAAAAAATGTTTCTTCTTCTAGTCAGTAAAGTCAACATGTCTATTGTGGAAAATTTAAATGATAGCGGAAAATGAAGACAAAAAAAGTGCCTATGTTCTTTCTTACTCTACAGAGACGATAGCTTCCAGTCATTTTCCATGGTGTGTCTGTGCGTGGGCATGCATGCCTCAAATGAATTCTGAGTCTAAATACTCATTTTCATATTAAAAGCTTTGAACTAGGAGAATGTCTTTGAAAACTAAAGGATGATACACATGTTTATTTTGGTCTATGCTTTATTACTTAATGATAATTGTTAGGAGTGAAAAATATCCAGCTGAAGGGAGTGGAGTGAGCCTTCATGGAATGAGAAACAGCTAGTTGAGTTAAAAAGACCTTTCTCCTCTCTTGCTTGGGAAGTGAGATCTTAATTTAGATGAATACTTGCACAGAAATGAAGGTTAAAACCAATCTGCTGACTGTAAGCTTAGGTAAGGCTTGGGAGAGGGGAGAGAGACAGCTATTAGCATCCTTGCTTTTGTTCTTACCCACTGCAGTAAGTTGAATTGTGTACCTTGCCCGAAAGACACATCCAAGTTCTAAACCCCCAGTCTATGAATTGGACCTTATTTTGAAATATGGTCTCTGTAGATGTAATTACATCAAGGATCTCAAGATGAGACCTTCCTGGAATTGGGGCGGGCCCTAAATCTACTTATAAGAAAAAAGAGAGGGAGATTTGAGACACAGACACACAGAGAAGGCCGTGCACAGATGGAAGCAGAGAGTGGTCTCAGATCGGAGGACACCGGGGGAGCGACTAGAAGCCGGAAGAGGTGAGACAGGATTCTCCTCCAGAGCCCATGGAGGAAGTGCGGCCTCGCCAACACCGTGATTTTGCAGACTCCAGAATGGTGAGAGAATGCGTTGTTGTTGTTTTATGTCACCAAGTTTGAGGTCATTACCTAATATACTCATCTTTCACTGAAGATATTTCATTAAAGAAAATATATTTCTCTCCACAAAATACATGCTTTGCAGTTGGGGATTGCCAGAAATCAAAGCACGTCTAAGCTAGGAACTTATACATGTGCCAATACCCTTATAGCCTTTCCCACTGGAGTTCTTCATCATCAGAACATGGAGCATGGCTTCAGTGGCCATTTACTTACTTCTTCTAAAGTAAATATGTAGCCAGGTCGCTTCTAAAGGCCTGGAAGAGGAGTGTGTCTGTCACGTCTCCTGGAATCCTGACGGAGTGTGAAGGGGACAGTCTTGTGTCTCAGGGGCTCAGAGTCTAGCCAGACTTCTCGTGACATGGGCTCCGAGAAGGGACACCGACAAGAAGTGTCAGCACGTGAAAGAAGCATTACTCTGCCTCCCGGAGTGGGAAACACTGGCCTTCAATCTTGAAGGTTGAGGCGTTGTTTAACAAGCTAATAAAGAGAAAAACAGCTCTGACAGGCTCAAGGAAGGAAATGACAATAAAACGCCAGCCCTCCGCTTCTCTTACTTATAGCTCAACGACTTCCCAAAGAGCGAAAAGGGCTTCATAAGATCATCTGATGAGAGAAGAGAATGGAGTGGAATGAGAAGAGAAAGGAAGTGAGTCAAAGCTGCATGTGAGAAATAATGACGGCTCAAATGCTGTCAGTGAAGTGGGAGCAAAAATGGCTACCACTCCTCAGATCACCATCCAACAGAACTTCCTTTCCTGTAATAACGGGTATGTTCTCTAGCCTCACTACGGTAGCCATCAGCCACACGAAATGTGCCTAGTGTTCCCAAGGAACTTTATTTTTAATTGTATTCTATTTTAATTAAACTCCAACATAAATAGTCATGCATGGCGAACAGTTACTGTATTGGTCAATGCAGTTCTAGAACAATTTAAGAAAGGAGAAAGACAAACTTGTAGTTGGAATGACTCCACGTATCACGGTACTTAGCAAATTGGAGAGAACATATGAAGAAGCTGAGTTTTCACAGATAAACAAAGATGCCAACTTTGGACATGCTGCATTTGAGGAAACCAGGTGTGTGAAGAAGGATTTCAGTCAATGGTAGAAATGTAATCTGAGAGAAAGGGATCAGAACTGGGCTTCTGCGTGTGGATAAGGTATAAGTGTGGAGGTGGGAGGAGAGAGTCCACACAGCTGGTTGGATTGAAGGCTCAACTGAGGATAGGAAGAAAGCAGAGCTTCACTTCCAGGAGAGAAAGAAGAGGTGAGGATAGGTACGAAGAAAGGCATGTTTGCCAACTGGAGAATGTGGGTGGAAAAAGAGGTGGCTTCCATCTGATGGTTTTTGTCTGTCTTAGAGACAAGAGTTAAGGTGCTCTGATAGGAGAGAGGGAGGGGATAGGAGCTGTCAGAAAAGAGAAAGGAAGGTGATTTATAAACCAAAGAGCGAGAAAGAGAGGGAGAGGAGAAAAGCTTACATAGCACACTGCAAACTCAGCTGAGCTCTTTGATTTCAGACAGTAGACTGAGTCAATGATGCATTGTTTTCTTCAAACCCTGGAGACTTCATCAAAGTGTCAGCAAGGAATAAAAACTGTAACAGTGAAAAGAATGTGCTTGGGGCATTGGCAGAAAGAAGACTTGGGTGCATTCCTTAAAGGCAGAGTGGAAGGAAGAGTAGTGATGAAAGACACAGAATGGAAAAAGCCCAATTCCGTAATCTACACAAGGGGAGTTGTACACAGGTGCACTCAGAAGAAGGTTGGT